TAGCACAGGTCATGAGTGAGGCCACGCCAGCTGCCTCGGGTGCTCTGTGTGGTCGGCCTGGACCGTGCCGCAAGCCTCGAGCAGCGGAGAAGCGCTGTCCTTGAAGTCCAGACATGCTTCGCCGCCGTGGCGCAGCGCCGCAGTGCGAGCGAGCACTGCAGCTGCAGTGCTCGCTCGCTCTGCGGCGCCCATCGACTCCCTGCGCTCCGGGCACATTGGCAAATGTGCCGGCGGCCTTGTGGACGGCTCGGGCACGAATTGCACGACGGCGCGGCGTCTCGAGGCGGCCGTGTTGTGAAAACGAAGCTGTTGCGAAACCGAAGCCCGGACCTGTACCGGCCCAGAAGAGCGGCCTGGAAAAAAAATTTTTTCACACTGAGCCATTTCCCCCACTAGCTGCAGACCCGGTGCAGACCCGTAACCGCACGCCTGCCGCACGCCCCCAGGACCGGGGGGGGTGCGGGAGCTAAGAATTTAACACACACACACACACACTCTCTCTCTCTCCAGCGCACCCTGCGTCGCACTTGGAGCACTTGGAGTGCAGTCATCAGCCTCACATCCAGCTTCCAGGGCCGGGGAGCTCAGAAGCGCACCCAGCGGGCCGGATGATCGGGATCGGGCTACGGGCTAGAGAGCCCTGACCCCTAGGGGGGGTGCGCGTTCGCAGGGCAAGGGCCTTAAAGTAAACACGGGTCTCCGAGGGTTGGCCCCGCGTACCGGGTTTCCCCTTAACTGCAGGACGCCCCCTCTACTCGGAGCTAATGAACACCACACTGCACGCCTCACACGTCACACTACCACTCCACACTCACTCGCGCAGGCACGAGTAGACCCCCCTCATGAGGGCTCACCCCCCGTCCTCCCAGGGTTCCGACCCCCCATGATTCGTTCTCTTGCTCGTCTCACGAGCGTCATGCGACGGCCGGTGTGGCCGTTTCCCTCGTTGTTGGTGTCGCTTCCTCCGCTGCCGCCCTTCATCTCCGCCAGCTTCTCCCGGCTCCACCGCTTCCGAGGGCTTCGATGGCCCGGCCGAGGTCTCCCCGGGCGAGGACGGCGGCATTGGGTCCTACCGCTAGCTCTCAAAAAGAAACAAAAACACCCACGACACCACTTGCTGTCCGCTCGCAGGTGAGTGCTTTGACCCGTCCACGGTGCGAGTCGCCTCTGGCGCATGCCGCCTCGCCGCGCGCCACGGTGTGGCCGTTGTACGTGCGCCGCTCCGCCCGCCCGCCCGCACTCTTGCCCTGCCCGCCGCGCTTGCCGCCCGCCGCCTCGCGCCGCGCCCGCTTCTCCTCGTGCCTCTCGCGCCGATCCGCTCGCCCGGCCGCTGAGGAGGCCGCTTTGTCCTCCCGCCGCCGCTTCGCCGCCGCCTCCTTTGCCGCCTTGCTAGTGACGCCCGCCATCTGCTTCGCGCCAACGAGCGGCCGGCCGTCGAGCGTCGCAGCGGTGGCCATCGTGACGCCGGTCGCACCCGCACGCAGCATCTTGAGCGCCTGCGCCTTGTCCGCTCCCTCGAGGCCCCCGGCCGAGACGGCCTCGTGCTGCAGCTGCGCGAGGCTCATGGCGTGGAACGTCATCTTTGCGTGCATCTCGGCCCGGTTCCCGGTGCACGCACGTTTGCAGTCCACGGCTGGCATCTCCTCCGCCATAGCCCGCTTCCTGCCTCCCCCCGGGATGCGGACGTAGAACACGAGGCCACCGACCGAGAGCTGGTCGCCGTCGCGAAGCTGCCGCTGCTGGTCGGCGGCGACCTTCCCCCAGCCGCCGCCGCTCATCTTGAGGTAGGAGATGTCGTCCCCCTCCCGCACGTGGAGGTCGTAGGTGCCCGCTGCGTTGGAGGAGACGAAGCTCGCCAGGCCGAGGTCGGTGCGGTTGTTCCCCCCCTTGTTTGGCGGGCGGCCAGAGGGTTTGAGCATGATTACCTCCGCTCCCCTCTCAAGCCGAGCGCCGACCCCCGGCTCCGATGATGCAGAGGGCCGCACGCCGCCGTCCGCCGCTGAAGCGGAGCCAGCGGCGGCGGTGGCGGCCGGCGAGGCGGCGGGCGAGGCGGCACTGCTCTCGCCGCCGACCTCGCGACTCTGCGCCCCCGATGCCGAGGTGGGGGGCAGCTCGGCCCCTGCCGCGCCGCTCGCCGAGGCGGTGCCGCTCTCACCGACGCCTTGATCAGCGGCGGCGGTGGCTGGGTTGTCTGTTTCCGCCTCGGTTTCTTCTTCCGCTGCTTCGGCGAGAGCAACAAACAATCAACGAGATGTTGTTCCCACCCGTCCCCTCGATCCTCAAGCCGATAACCGTCAAGCCGCGCGCGCCGCTTCCCTCTCGGCTCGTCCCCAGCAGTCAGGCCGCAGCCTTTGCCATCGCACTTCCGCTCTCCGTGCTCGCCGGCGCTTCGATCGCCGTGCCGACTGCTCTCGCCATCGCTGCCTCGGCGGGAGACTTGGGGCTCAGCAGCCTCACGGCGGCCACATCGCCGCCCGACGCAGCCGTGCTCTACCTCGCGTTCCTCGTTGTCGGCCTGGCCTTTGCTGAGCGCCGAGTCTTCGCAGGCCGCAGCTGGCAACGGGCCGTCGAGCGCCCAGCCATCCAGGGCCCAGCCCTCGCCGACGGCGCTGGCTGCTTCCTCCTCGCCGAGACGGGAGAAGGCGCGTGGTACAGCTGCTCAACTCCCTCCGACA